CTCTTTGGTCCGCTCACAAGCCACCCGAGTTGGGTCCCTGCGTTCCACCTCGCTGCCCCACTGTGGGTATGGCAGTGGTTCCGCTGGTCCCACTTGCATGGTATCTGGGTGCCTGGCTAGCGATACCCAACCCGTCTCGTTGGCTTCTGCGGACCATCAGCCTCGGCTATGCGATTCAGTTTGCCCGGCATCCCCCCAAAGTTCAGTGGCAGCCGATGCTTCTGTCTTGTGTGCGGAGATCGCAGTCCTACTGGTGAAGGATGCGATAGAGCCGGTCCCTCCAGCCGATATGAATACAGGGTTTTACAGCCCTTACATCATTGTACCCGTGAAACCCGGTGGGTTATGACCAATCTTGGATCTGCGTGTCTTGAACCAGGCCCTTTGCCGGTTACCAATCAAGATTTTGACGCAGAAACGCATCTTCGGGTGCATCCGTCCCCGAGATTGGTTTGCAGCAATCGACCTGAAGGATGCGTACTTTCATATGTCGATCCTTCCGCGCCGCAGACCATTTCTTGACCGCTGCGTACATCAACCGACAAGGTGGTCTGCTCTCCTGTTGCATGTCGCAACTCGCCCTCCACCTCCTCCTTTGGAGTCAGAAGGTTCTGAGGTCACTTCGTGCCATTCACATTCCAGGTCTGCTCAACCATACGCTTCCGGGAGAATGGAGACTCCATCCCCAGAAGGTCCAGTAAAGTTCCTCGAACTAATGCTCCTCGCGACAGCCCCGTTCCTGGCAGATTCCTTTGAGGAAGGATCTACTGACTCAGAGACGGGGCACCCTGTGGCGCCCACGTCCAGACCTCTGGAAACTTCATGTCTGGTCCCTGGACGGGAAGCGGAGGTTCTTGGTGACCTACCCCAAGAGGTAGTTGACACCATCACTTTGGCAAGAGCACCGTCTACGAGACATGCTTACGCCCTGAAGTGAAACCTGTTCGTCGAGTGGCGTTCTTCTCATCGGGAAGACCCCCGGAGATGCCCGATTGAGGTCGTGCTTTCCTTTTTGTAGCAAGGGCTGGAGAGAAGGCGGTCTCCCTCCACCCTTAAAGTCTATGTCGCTGCGATTGCTGCTAACCATGACCCCATGGAAGGGAAGTCGGTAGGGAAGCATGATCTGGTCATCAGGTTCCTTAGGGGGGCGAGAAGGTTAAATCCGCCCCGGCCCTCCTCTATACCCTCTTGGGACCTATCTCTAGTGCTCAAATCACTACAGCAGGGCCCATTTAAGCCTTTGCAGTCAGTCGAGCTAAAGTTTCTTTCAATGAAAACTCTGCTCCTGCTTGCACTGGCCTCCATCAAGAGGGTAGGGGACCTGCATGCATTTTCGGTCGACGAATTGTGCCTTGAGTTTGGGCCGGCTGACTCCCAGGTAATCCTGAGGCCCCGGCCCGGCTATGTGCCCAAGGTTCCCACTACTCCCTTCAGGGATCAGGTGGTGAGCCTGCAAGTGCTGCCCCCGTGGATAGTGGGTGCCATCACCCTGGCTTATCAGGCACAGGGTGTGCCCTGCCTGCTCAGGTTGCTAGCTCACTCTACTAGAAGTGTTGCATCCTCCTGGGCTCTGGCTCCTGGTGCCTCGCTGACAGATATTTGTAGAGCAGCAGGCTGGGCGACCCCCAACACGTTCGCTAGATTCTGTAGCCTTTGCGTGGAGCCGGTATCCTCCTGTGTTCTCACCTCAAATGGGTAGAGGCACTGAGTGGCACTTTAGCGGCGGCTTGCTAAAACTACTCCAGAGTGTCCGTACTGTTGACCTTGTCGAGCTCATCCATCCCCCCGGCAGCCAGACGTGGCGGAACGTCCGGCGCCAGGCCTTCACTTGATGAATCCTTGAATCCGTGAGAAGGGCTGGGTTCCATATGTAGAGGCCTAAGTGGTTCCCATATGTGTAAAGTCCACGGTATAGCCTCAGAGCCTCAGAGCCCCCGGGAGACTTCTGCCATTTCCATGAGGGTAACAATCATCTCTAATCTTCCATATGCACTTAAACGGATGTCATATGTGTAAGTGCTTCCGAAACCTCC